CCCCGTAATGGAATCACATTATACCCGAAAGGACACTTCCAGACAATACCTTGATCCTAATCTGAATATAAGAAAAATGTACCTATTGTATATTGAGCAGTGTAAAGAAAACCAGTTAATTCCGGTTTCTGAAATGAAATATCGCTCTGTATTTGGCCAAGAATATAATTTTAGCTTTTTTAAGCCAAAAAAAGACCAGTGTCTAATTTGCACCACCTATGCTAAAGCAGACTCTGAAAAGAAAGAGGAAATGGAAACCCAGTATCAAGACCATATTAGACGAAACAGAATGAGCCAGAAGTCAAAACAAGAAGACAAGGATAAGGCAAACAGAGATCCAACTTTTAATTCAGTGTCATTTGATCTTCAGGCCGTTCTGCAAATTCCTAGCGGACAAGTAAGCCAACTGTACTACACGAGAAAATTGGTTGTGTACAATCTTACTATATATGAATCCGCATTACCGAATAACGCATATTGTATGTCCTGGAATGAAATTAATGGGAAAAAAGGGAGCTGTGAAATAGGCACCTGTCTTTATTATTATTTAAAAAATCATGTTCCCTCCCATGTGAACCATATCACATTGTTCTCAGACACTTGTGGGGGACAAAACAGAAATCAGTTCATAGCATCCTTGTTGCTTTGGGCTGTTCAAAATATAGACCATTTGAATGTAATTGAACAAAAATTCTTGGAGAGTGGTCATTCATACATGGAGGCAGACTCCATGCATTCAAGTATAGAACATGCAAGTAAGAACATGTCCATAAGTTCAATGAATGACTGGCTAAATGTTTTTAAAATTGCTAGAAGAAAAAGACTTTTGAAAGAGAAAGGTACGGAAAGAAAGCACACCATAGAACCATACAAAGTAAAAGAATTTAAATATAGCGATATGTTGAACTTGAAGGCACTTGCCACAGAAGTTACCATCAATAGGACAAAAGATAATAATAACGAAGCAGTGAAGTGGATGAAAATTAAAAGAATTAAGTACGTAAAAGGAGAAACAGCCAAAATTTTTTTTAATTACGATCTATCGGAAGATTTTAAATTCATGAAAACCTCTGATATTGTAAACAATAATAATTCACCTGCACCGGTTACAAGGTTGAAGAAGAAAAAGATGACAAATGCTGGAAATCTAAAAGATGAATCTCCAATAGACAGACCGATTCCAATTTCTCTGGAAAAATTGTACAAGAGTCCCCTACTGATCAGCGTATTAAAAAAAAAAGATTTGCTCAAATTATGTAAAAAAGGCATCATTCCAGAAGAACTTCATGCCTGGATTAACAGCCTCTCCACAGCTTCCAGCGTGATTGATCGCATACCCGACGTCGCTATTGATGAGTCTGAAGAGGAAGAAGTTTAGTAGATAAGAGTTTCTTATAATTTTTTTTAACTTTTCATATTTGTTTTTTTTTTACTTATAATAAAGAAAACCGTTTTTATTTTTTATACTTCTTGTTTTTGATAATTGTCGACATTAACAATTTTATGTTTGAAAAATGTAAATGTACGCCAACTTATAAATTATAGTGATGGATATTATGGACCCAAATTACGTAATTTGAGTGTTAAAATGACGTAATTAGGATGTAATAATGAACTTATTCCGAATGAAAAGTAGAAAAATAATAACATAAGTTACCAAAGTCATTATTTTTATAACATGCCAAAACCCAATAAGTGAGGACCTACTTAACTAAATCACCTTTTAAAGCAAACCTATAATCAATTTTAAATGTTATACATATGGTGAGTAATCCTAAATAAGTTGTCTACAAAAGTACTCCTGATTTATTGCAATTGCATTAAAAATTGGTTATAAATATAACATCATAATCTTTAAAGATGAATATCTCCAAAATGTGAATTTTCTACTTATCGGGTTTTGGCTGTATACCCTCGATTGTTTTATGTCTATATTTTAAATGTAAACTACTTTATTTGCTTTTTCTACATTACTTATCTACTTATTTTAGTTTAGAGAATTACAAAATAATTTTTGTTTAATAAAATAGAAGATATTTTTAGTGTGTAACATTCAAAATAAGCCTGTCAGGTGTCAAAAAATGCAGACGAGTTGACGTCTCGAAATAGTTAAAAAAATAATCACTATAATTTATTTTTAAGTTAGATTAAGTTTTTTTTATTAGTCTTTTTTATTTTGTATTTTAATTATGGGGATCTCGCGTTAAATAAATAAATTCTGATAAACATGCCATCTTCTTTTTAAGGGGGTTTTTAATTTTTACTAGCTTTTCAATGATATACACAAAACCAAACTTATATAGAATAACCCCCAGTATTAATATGAAATATTCGTTTAATTTTTTTTTTTTGTCCGGAGCTTCAAAGCCAACTTTAGATATGAGTGTTTCTGTCGAAACTATCAGAAGAAGACATCGTACTCGGGAATTATTTAGCAGAAGACAGTTAAGCGTTCCAGAACTTTAAAGGCAAAATAAAGCGGACCGTTTAAAATGGTGTTTGGAGCATGAAAATTGGACTATTGAAGATTGGAAAAATGTCTTATTTTCGGATGAAACCACAATCGGCCTACGATCCGATGACCGGCGAATTCGCATTTTAAGAGGTAGAGGGAGACAAGCTAGACTCCGTGTCAAGCTAGGTCAAAGGTATGTTGATTTAGTTTTGCAACCTGTAGTCAGGCTCTGATGAAGTGGTATTTGGCGATTTTTTTTTATTTATGCAAGATAATGCACCTCCACATACCAGCAGAGTTGCAAAATGTTTCTTAGAAACGAAAGGTGTTGCAGTTTTAGAGTGGCCTTCTTGCTCGCCGGTTCTTAAACCTATAGAGCACTTATGGGATAAGATCAAAAGAAAGATTAGATAGATAGCATGCTTCGTCGAATTAGTGCTTGCATCGATGCTAGAGGTGGCAAAATTGTAATAATTTTTATTTATTTTTGTAATAAACTTGGTTAGAAAAAACTGCTCTTTTCAAATTAAATTCAATTTCTCTAAATTACTGAGTGATTCCATATAAGTTTGGTTGTGTGTATATGGCAAGTAGGTGGCCTCCTATTTATTTATTTTGTTGATGTAGGTGGCGCATAGGGGGTTGATGGGGTGTAAGCTATGTATTTTGTCATTTAAGTTCCCCTTTCGTATACTAAAACCGACTTTAGGCCTTTGGTGACATCATCATCTTTAGTTTATGAGATATAGCCATTATAAGTTTTTCAATTATTATAAGGATATTAGATTTGTATAATACGCAAGAAGTTTCTCTTCAATGGTAGGCGGTTGACTTAAGTTTTATACCTAATGAAATTAGTAGGTATCCAAATTATTTGTATATTCAATAATAACTAGTGAGTTGAAATCTGTAGGAACTACTTTCACGAAAGAATAATGTATTAAACAATCTTAATTCAACATAGTCAATCTACAGAGTAGGTACTGAGAGTCCAAAATAAATAAGAAAAGACGCCGCCCATATCTACGGAACAATTATTCATGTGTTACTTTTTTTTAAATCGTTCATAGAAATAGTTGGAAATTATTTTCAAGTTCCCAACTTCAAAACTAGAGGGCGCAATGCTCAATATCTATGATAAAAACTTGTTAAAAAAAAAAGTCAAATTATCTTATTCGAATTGATCAAAATCATATTCTGCACGAAATTTTATTAGTTTTGACTACCCACTCGTTTATCATTGGTTATACGCATTTTCCAATCTATCCGCGAACTTAGAAACTAGAGAAAATAATTTCCATCGATTTTTCTTAATCACTTGTACGTTGACAATTTTTTCCTGAATTCTACGGCGCATAGTTTCCGAGATACCAGCCGTATTTTAGAGCCAATAACAACCAGAGTCCCTTCTCATTTGTACACTCGGTACTTTTAGAAAACAATGAATATTTGCTAAAATAATAAATAAGAATAAAAAATAATTAGCGAGAAAATTAATTGATATTTAAGACTGATACGCCCGTGAATGTTTTCGATATAGCAGCACAATGATGAGTGGTCCGCTTTGTTATGCCAACATAATCGATTCTCTCACTCCGATTTAGAGATGGAATGATGTAGGCTTTAGTTTCACAACAAATACACTTTTATCAATGACTAGTTGGGATGTGGTTCTACATATCCCAGGCCTACGACTCGCACAGGCATTTTCAAACTTCATTATTAATAGTTCATGATTTTGTTTGTTTTTTGGAGCGGAAACACCGATAGAAACCGATATCGGTTAACCGGCTACACTACCACTATTCATCGATATAATTTCACACATTTACCAACATGTCCCACATATGGTATTTCTTACAACTACCTTGCCCTTGTCTGGGCTTGGTTGTAACCATGCACGTGTATTTTTTAACCTTTTTATGGGGACGTCGTAGTAAGCGCTTATCACTTATTTTTTAGACCCGATGATAGCCTAAGGCCGAAACCGGTTGTCATTTAACTTAATAAAATTTAATTATGAGATTTATTTTGAGTTATTACAATATACAGGGTGTTCCATTGAAAAAAACATGAGGAGTGGCCATAGGGAGGAGAGCGTGAAAGTTACGAGTATACATAAGCAGAAAGACGTTGAATTTTTAACTACATTTAAAAAAATTATTGTTTTGAGGCCAATTTATTCAAATATAATTATTAAAGGTATATAATTATATTTATTTTTATATTTTAAATCTAATTTGTGAGAATAAAAAATATGTATTTTTAATTACGTCATTTCTGCAAGTTCAAAAAAATTATATAAGTTTCTAAACCAAAACTAATTTATTTTATGAAATAATGATCTCTCTTGATATTCTAGTTTGTTTTATACTTGTAAAAAAGTGAATTTTTTAGATTTTTTTTATTTTTATTTCTTATATTTTGGATCTTCAAATCTGATTTATCGTTATCTAAATAAAGACATTAAAAATAAAGAGCTTTTGAAACTGTCCCATATAAAATTTGAGAAAGTCTGATGTTTATGGTACATAATATGACTAACCTGTTTGCTAATATAAGATTGACTTTAACAGTGGAATTGGCTCTGCACGATTGCTTATCAAAATGCAATATGTAATTGTCCACACAACTACAATGATATGATCCTCTGGTATTTGTGCAAACTTGACTGCACGGTTTCTGTTGCTCGCATTCGTTTATGTCCTCACAGTGATGAACATCCTTAGAGCTGACCTTATAGCCCAGGTGACATTGACATTCGTAGCCCACAGGTTTGTCAACGCAGATTTGCGAGCAGGGTTGCGGGGATGCAGAACATTCATCTATTCCTAAAATAAATTTAAAAAAATAACATTTCTTGGAAAAATCGGTGTTGGCTACATCTAACTGTAGCCAAAAGGCATTCAATATTTCTTTCAGTAACATAATAAATTTGTAATTGTTGATGAACAAAGTCATGCTTTCTTCATCGCGACAATACTGGAGCCCACAATGCAGTCTGTCAAGAGGTTTTTGGCCAAATATTTACATCTCTGTATTAGAACATTCATACTAATCACCTTATCTCGCCTCATGTTAATTTTTTTATTAGGTATCCAAAGTTAAATCAGCATTTAACATGAACCACGCTTTAAAAAAATGATTAACAGCACTGCTTTGGCCAATGGAAAATTCGCATGATACCAACAAGAGAATGGAAAAAACGAGGAAAAGGCGTAGTATATAGAAGGCGATAATAAATCCGTTTATTTTTCTAGCCACACCTCGTACACCACAGCTCAATTTAAGTAGAGCTCAAACTTTACGATGATAGCAACAGAGTAACAGCCAGAATAGCCTGCAGAACGATCAGTCCGGTTTTTTCTAGACACACCTCGTAATAATTGCATTAAGATGTCAAATAATATTAAATTCTAAAATTTACTTACTACACTTATTTTCATCAGAAAAATCTCCACAATTATTCTCACTGTTACATAACAGCGTTTCATTGATACAAACTCCATTATCACAATGGAACCATCCCTTTCCTTTACAGTATCCATCTTCTGCGCTGTTCTCACAATGCACACCTTCATCACTGCCATCACCACAATCATCTTTTCCATCGCATTTAGCGTGGTCGGGGACGCACTTGTCATTTTGACAACGGAATTCGTCGTCATCGCATGTTTTATAACACTCGAGGGGTTCATCAGAGCCATCAATGCAGTCTCGATCACCGTCACAATAATAGATTTTGCCTATACACTGACCATCTGCACAACGAAATTGGTTGGTGTTGCAACTGATGAAGTTACAGCCCTGTAAAGAATGTATTAGTCATCTATCATAGTTAACCGACTTGTCCTTTCTTTTTTTAATTTTTTGATTGAAATTTACTTACCTGCAACATGTGTTCATCAGCGTTATCCTGACAATCCGCCTCACCATCGCAAACCCATGACAAAGGAATACATCTTCCGGTAGTGTTACATCTGAATTCATATTTAGCACAAGTTGTAACTTGACAATGTTCACTTTCATCCGATTGATCGGTACAGTCTGGATTCCCATCACATTGCCACGATTTTGGAATACATTCTTTATTTGTGCATTGGAATTGATCGCTTCGGCATCTTTGCTCTGAAAAAATAGAACAAGAAATTTTCATATTTAAATATGGCTTGTTTATAGTATAGTAATAGATATACAGAGTGTTCCAAAAAAGTAGACCAATCCGATAACCATAGAATTCTTAAGTCAGTGTATTATTTTTTTCGATTGGGGCCATCATGTTCAATATACATGGTGACAAAATTAATTTTAAAAAATACGTTTTTCATTATATTTTCTTAGTTTAATTAAGTAGGTGGTTTAAAATTGCTAGACCGGGGTTTTTCGGGAAGACAAATCATAATTTGAGCCTAAAATCACCTACTTCATAGGGGCAGCTAGTTGCAAGGGGTTTATTACCTTTACCTCCTACATTTTTGGCCCCAATCGAAAAAATAATAATGAAGGTTTCGTACACTGACCTAAGGAATATATGGTTAAAGTATTGGCCTACTTTTTTGGGACATCCTGTATTAAAGAACTAGACACATGCAGACCCCAATATCATATAAGTTATTTTTAAACTTTAAATAAGAATAAAATTAACACATTTGATCAAAACTAGTATAAGACCCTGACCAAACAACTATAATATGAATAATTTATCTGGTTGGTCTAAATGTCTATTTTATTCAATATTGTTTTTAATAAGTTTACTATTTTATTGTTAAACTATACACAGTGGCGTAGCCACGGGGTTTGGAGGTCAGAACTCCTCCTCCCATGGACCGTTTTCGCCATCGTATTGTTGCTGATCGCTATTAACTATTTGGTTTTATTCACCTTTTTTTATCGTTTTATAAAAAGTTATTTATTTTTATTTACTTTTAATAGAAACAATCTTATCGGATATATTTCACTTTGTTCTATGAAACCCGTCCCATGAAAGATTTCTAGCTACGCCACAGCAAATACATAACATCGTTTCAGGGGCCTTATCATCGGCTATCGTTTTCTAAAAAATCTGATGTGTCTAACACATGACTTTCCTATCTAGTTATTATAGGCTTTTTCCGGTTATTTTGTACAACCTATTGCAGCACCTCTATAAATGTTTAGAGGATAAACTAAATATATACATTTTCCACATACATCTACCTCGAAACATTTTTCTATAAATATTCATTGAAAACGAAAATACTGAAAAATTTAAATTTAGCATTTTTCCTACAATTTTTCCATTACGGTCCATTTTAGAAAAATCATGTATAAACAAAAATTACAGAGATCGATATCGCAAACAACTTTTAGTTCAACAATTTTCATAAAAATCAAAATTTTGCACATTTAGTCAAATTTCTCGACGGACCATTTCAGGAAATTTTGACAAAAAACAAAAATTATAGATAATAATATTAGAAGTAACTTTTATTTGTTTTATTTGAACAGTTTTCTTCTCCAAACATAAATAACATATATTCCACAAAATATAAAAACGGCCTCCCATAAAGTACCCCCCCAGATGTTCCGACTTTGTCCAAAATCTAATCATTTCACGTCAGGCCGAAATAAAACTTAAGTTTAAAATTTAATGTTTTTTTCTTTATCCGTTTTTGAGTTTTCTTCAAAATTCGAAATTTACACATTTTCTCAAATATCTCGAAAACGGTCCATTTTAGAGAAATTATGTATGGGAGAGAGAATTTTATTACAAACAACTTTTATTTGAACAATTTTTATAAAAAATTATTTTTTTTACATTTTGTCAAATTTCTCGAATACGGACCATTTTAGGAAAATTTTGTATAGAACAAAAATTATAGATAATAATATTAGAAGTAACTTTTATTTGAAGAATTTTATTCTCCAAACGTAAATAACAGATATATTCCATAAAATATAAAAATGACCACCTATAAACTACCCCCCCAGATGTTCCGACTCTGCCCAAAATCTAATCAGTTCATCGCAGGCCGGAATAAAGCATCAAATTTGTAAAAATCAAAATAAATTTAATTATTTATTTAAAACAACAAAGTAAGTAAAAAACAACTGAAATAGGTGCAACGATTTAAACGAGCATATTTTTCATTTTCTTTAATAATAGTTAAACAAGTAAATTTATTACCTCCAAAGTTATTTTTCACAGAAGAAACTATATAATTAAATTCACATTTATGATTAGTACCAGTTGTCGGTAAATATCTTTTTTAGCATCGTACAACTGCTATCTTAATAAAACAAATGACCTTTGAAATATACCTTATATAAATACACTTTTTACTACTTTTGTACAATCGTTCACCATTGTGGTGAACCTTTGCAATATAGATACCTTAATATACTCTTTCGTGCAATCGTTTAGTATTTAAGATATTCCTTATATACCCTGTATACCTACTTTTGTCCAATTTTTCTATTTTTTATAGCTACCTTATGATTTCACACATGTGTAATTGTGTTACCTTGTGATATACCTATATTATTAATACCTGCCTCTATTTGTATGATATTGGTACTTTATTTCAAAAGCTTTTTAATAATAAATTTATACAATTTTTTATTTTGTTTTATTCAGATTTTACTATATCCTCAATACACTATTTTACATATAATGTATCCAAGGATGGGCATAACTATACTTGTAAAAATATTTACTTTTTCACATAAGTAATTTTTCATAATTTCTCAACGTTAATCGCATTTATTTAACAAGCAAAATAAATTATGAAGAAGTACTTTCTTAAAATTTAAAATAAACATTTTTACAATTATTGTTATTGGACACACTGTATAATGCTGTAGAATGAATTCACGTTATAACACCTATAAAACGTTTCAGATCAACTTTCGGAGGAAGTACCGTAAAAGTGTTAGTGTGATGTTTTCCGAACTTCACTTTGTAACCTCTATGAGAAGGGCCTATAAAAGTCTTGCCGTTGCGGACATTCGGCGGTTGCATGGATATTATAGTTACATTAAAAGTACATCGCATGCGAGCTTAAAGAGCCTAAAATTGCAGCTTATTAACGTAGATGGGATGTTTTTGTGCTAGCTGGGTAATACCTACAAAAATATCTAATTTCTTATAAATATGGTTTGCAGTACTAAAAAAGTCTAATGGCTAAGAATTTCTTCCAATTATTATTAATTGTACAATTGGAAAACTTGGAAGATAAGAATCCTCTGCATTCAAATATGCAGAGGAAGAATCCATTTTTGAATTAAATAAATATTGAATAAATATTTTTTATACCTTACCGTGTAAGAATTTAATTATTAATTCATGTATGTTTTATTTACAGATATTAATTTGCTTGCGGTTTCTTGCAAGTGGTAGTTCAAAGCTCTTCTGTATCACACGTTGTGTCCAGAAATTTTAACAATATTTTGAAAAATTACCAAAAAATATTAAAGAACTGAATGAGATAAGCAAACTTATTATTTAAATTAATTTTGTACCATAAAAACTAGGTTTTTTATGATGTACGATTTTCCTGGAATTATAGATTGCATTGGCTGCACCTTTATTATAGCTATTTTTCCGCCAAAAATTAACGATTCAGTTTATCCTGAACATTTAAATATTATGTGATTAGAAAAAATCATCATTTGATAAATTTACAACTGGTTTGTTGGAATTAAATCACAATTCTTATTTTTTACGGCCTGCACGTTACTTGAATTCAACGATATAGATCGTTTACAGTGATGCCAGACATATTATTTGCTTGTTAAAAACGTACACGTTTTAAAAAACGAATGCTCATCCAACGCCAGTCAAGAATATAGATTTCAAAAACTACTCGCTTTTTAACCACTCACTTTCGAAAACGGTTCGCTTTTTAGCGTTTGTCGAGGATAGCCGCCCGGGCAGGCTGTGATGATGCCTTTGTAAAGATAAAGTGTGGTTTTTCTTCTCGGGTTAAAGGCTCTCGACTAATTAAAAAATAATTTTTACACACTGATGAATAAAGTGGCCAAAAACGCCCCTAGTGGGGCTAAGGCGCTGTTTTCTCTCTAGATCCATATTTTGGGTGGATTAATCCCAGTTCCTTCATTTGTCCCTATCTTGTACTTTTTCTTGACAATAATTACTCACTCCTGCTCTGTGTAGATCTTCTTTCATTTCCTTCAGCCATCCTGATCTGAGTCTTTCACGTCTCCTTCTCCCTCCGGGGTCCCATTATAACATTGAATGAACCAATGTTCCATTTCCTGCTCTCTAAACGTGTCCCAACCATCTAACTCTGGATTGTTTTATTTATGTTTTTTTTTGTCTTCTAGCTCTTGTTTAATTTCAACATTTTAATTAGATTTTAATTAGTCCTAATGCTCTCATACTTTTTCTTTCCATAATTCTTAGATCTTTTGTCTTTTTTTTGTCATACTCATTGTTTCTGCTGCGTACAGTAATATTGGTCTGATTATTATGTTGTATATTTTCATGTTTGTCTTTTTTGTAAGTAATTTGCTTTTAAATAATTTTTAATTTGCTTGAAAGGCGTTACACACTATGTACTCTTCTCAGTCTTTAGTCCATATTTAGTGTCACTTTTTGTTAGCCCTTAAGGTACATGCTAATGGAAGGGCATGATTTACAAATAATATTCCCGGGTAACGCAGTCTAGTCAAAACAGTCAATCACTGTTATATTACAATATCACAATGTTAAATATATTTCCTAATATCTGAAATAAGTTTTGGTTCGGTTCGGCTACGGGCCTAAATGCGTAAGAACTATTAATTTTAAACGAGTGTGAAAACGTATTTTTTGTTTATTTTTGGTATAATATTTATCCTCCAACATAATGAATGATCGAAATCAAGAAAATAACTTCAGCGAGAGTGTCAAGTCACGGCTATTATGCTCGCATAAATCTACAAAAATTAGATTTTCACAATAGTGAGTTTAATTTGTTTTCTTATTAAAGAAAACACATTATAAGCATAATAACGCAGACTGGTCATTTTCTGTAACGTCTTTAATAGCTCGTTTATCTCGAAACAAATAATAAAAGTACATCTTTTGCTGCAAACAAATTACTGGGAAAGAGTTTCCACAAGTAAATAACAATATAAAATGCTTT